GGGGGGGCCACAGATGAGCTCCATCATCCTGACCCACGAGGGGGGTGCTGAGCTCACGCGTGAGACCTGGGAGTGGGTGCACCCCCCACCCCCGTTTTCCATAGATGGCAAAACAGCCTCAGGCCACAAACACCAGTTTCAAGATCCTCAAGCAAAAAGCACTGGGGGTAAACCATGAAACAAGAGGTTCATTTCAGCTCGAAACACACCAGCTGAGGCTCCAGGGGGTCCCTGTGACCTCACGGGGCCCAAAATGCAGCGCATCTCATAGGAAGGCTCTGAGGAGCAGACGGCAAATGGCCCTCCCTGTCCGATCCCTCTGCCCTGTCCTCCGCGAGAGCTCCACCTTCCTTGTACCTGACCCTGGCCGGCTGGCCTTCCCCACATCGGTGAGCTCCTGGTGGGCAGGGACCCCTTCATCTGTTTCCACAGCCCAGCTCTGTGGCGGCACAGGGGAGGCGCTCAGCACACAGCCGACCGCTTAGAGGAGAAGGTCCCGCGCGAGGACATTGGCTTCCCACGACCGACAGTCTCGAGGGAGGCTGCCGTCCCTTGAAGGCAGGCACCGTGTGTCCAGCTGCCGGCCTCCCGGGGGTAAAAGCCTGCACTGTGGTCTGGAGCCGGAGTCCTCCTCCTTTCTGGAGCTTCCAAACTGGGGGCAGGGCCACGTGCTCTTTGGACCTCCGGCTCTAAGCTCCCAATCGCCGTTGCGACACGGCTTCAGCATCCCCCGCGCCACCGGGGCCCCCGCCGCATCACGCAACCCACAGAACCAGCTCTGGGAACTCGGCCCTCGGTGCGCCCCTCACGGCACCCCACCTGGCGACTCAACAGGAGACCGTCTAGCTGTGCTCAGGGACCCGGGCTGGGAGCCCAGTGCCCTCCCAGACAGCTCTTTAAAGATGGCTCCAACTAGGGGCGAGTGTCCTAACGCCAGGCCCTGAACTTCCCATCACTTCCACCCACTGGTCCTGGGGTGCATCCTGGAGCCAAGAGAAACTGCCTTCGACCTCCGCCCCTGGCCGGCCACCACAGCAAGAAAATGCAGCCGACCCTCTCCTTGGCTTCCCCAGTGAAACCCCACCGGGGCTCCGGTGGCTCCCAGGGACTGGCCGTCTCCTGCCACTCCTCCGTCCAAGTTCAAGCCACTTCTCCACCTTGAAACACGGTGCACAGAATTGCCCCGGCCCAGCTCCGTGCCGGTGCACAGCACCTGAGCGCTCGCGGCTCCAGGAAGGGAAGAGGGACCGAGTGTATCACGGGGCCGGCCCCTGCTCTGCACCCCGAGAGCCCCAGCTCACACAGCCCTCACAGGGCTCGTAGTGCACCGACCTGTGCCCCCACCAGGGCCCTGCCTCGTCTCCACGGGCATCTTCAACCCTACGGTCCGACCCCACATTCTCACCGGAGGGATTCCTTCATGTCCCTTCAGAACTTCGTTGGTACCTGTGGGGGGATCTTTTTGAACTGTCATCAACTGGGCAACTTTGTCCCTCCAAAGCCTGTGTCACCTGCAAAGGCAACAAGAAGTCTGTGTCGGCCCTTCCCTGACTCAAAGAAAGAAGTGTGGACGGGCCGGGCCGCACACAGTGCCCGGGGCCACACGTGTGAGTGAGCCTGTCCTTCTGCTGGGCCGCTGCTCTCCCTGCGGGGTGCCTACACCCCCCTCAGTCACCTCTGCGCGTACCACAAAGTTCACCCACGGGGATCGTCTGCCCACCCCCGCGCTTTCATGGTAAGCCTGGCTTTGACCACAGGCTCGACGGGCTCGAGAGGGAGAGGTTCAAACCACAACGGAGCCTGCAAGGAGCCAATGCTGGACCTGCAGCCCCAGAAGTGACTGTAGGAAGGAGTCCTTGGACTTCTCCCGAGCCCTCCCTGATGTCCCCAAGGGCTCCGTCTGGAACCAGGATGGGGCAACAGTCCCAGTTTGCCCTATGCCAAGGGAGGCTCAGGAGGCTGAAGTCCTCACATCCTGGAGCCACAGCATGCTGGCAATCATCCTGTCCTTGGGTACCCAGCCAGGCTGGCACAGGATGTGCCCCCAAGGTCATGGCTGCCTGGGAGCAGAGCAGGTCCCCGGCCAAGCACGAGAGTATCCTAGCCTCCATCCCACACTGCACCACCACGTCTCCTTAAAGAGCCAGAAGAAAGAGTTTGGCTCCACTCTTCTCTGGGGCCCATTCCTTAGAGCTTAAGTTTTCCCTTGGGGTCTGTAGGCGTCACCAGGAACAGGGTCACTAAGCCTCCGGGTGCTGGGGCAGGGTGCGGGGGGCAGGGGGTGTCATTTGACCCAGACTTGACGTAAAGGGAGACGCCACGAAATGATTCTCTTTCCACCTACCCAAACTCAGGGCCACCCCCAAATGGCAGCACAAGGGGCCGGGGGGATGGGCTCACACGGCCACCCTCTGGGACACGGGTGGGCTCCCATCTACCTCCTCTAAAAATCATGGCCAGACACGCAGCGTTCAACAAGAGCAATCACGGGCCACCCACGCGGCTGCATAAGACTGTTTTGCCTTGGCTTC